TTTTTTTTGCGAGACCACAGTCCCTTAAGTTGAGAAAAATTAGTATTCGTTCGCATATCAGTGATGTAGATATCAAGCTTGTCTTCAAGTGCTAACACATCTCTTTCAGAAAAATCTCTTGGGTAGAATTTAGCAAGGCAGAGTAACTTTTGCTTATCGAAAGCAGAAAATGAATCATCCAGAGTCAAGCTTGCAACACAAATGAGAATCTCGGTGTTTCTCATTAAAGCGGCCATTCAAATATGAAAGTTGTCTATCAATCACCGAGTAAAATTCATCTACTCGATAATGATGTAAGACCTCTACGCTGAGATTTTCCCTAAGCAACAAACATAGCATCCGTGTCCGGCATATTAATGTCGTGCTTCTTACAAAAAGAATTTACCTTATGCAAGAAATTTTCCCATTCACATTCTTCCTCCCTCATTCTTTGGAGTTATTGTTTACTTGCCCTAACCAAATCCATAGCATTGACAATATCCTAATCATTCCTCTGCAATGCTAGTGACAACTCATTCGTTACACCTAAAACTTGTCTCATTAGAAAAAGACAAAATACGAAATCAAAGGATTGCATCTGCACAAGCAACAAATTGCATTCTCCTCTTTGATCAGCACTTGCCCCATCCTCGATTATCTTTTCAATAACTTTAATAATAGGAGAGAACATAAAGATAATGCTCAACAAAGTATTATAATGGGAACCCCAACGTGTGTCACTTGGACGTTTAAGAGCGGTTTCTTGGTTTAGTCCTCTTCCACTTTGGAGCTAATCATTGTAGAGAGCTTCTATTAGTTCATTTTGTCTTTGCTCCCGAAGAAGATCACGACGTTTACAAGATGAACCAACAAGGTTGAGGACTCTTGTCACCATTGAAAAAAAAAAAGAAGAAGCAACCCCGACATGATTTTTAGCTAAAGCAACAAGTGCAAGTTGAAGTTGATGGGCAAAACAATGAATGTAAAAGGCACAATTATTTTCTTTCAAAATTAGTGCCTTTTTTGAGACCATTAAAATCACCTCGCATATTGCTCGCCCCGTCGTAGCCCTGGCCTCGAAGATTTGATATGCTCAACCCATCTCTAGAAAATAGCTCATCAATTGCAAGGTTTAAAGAATATGCATCAGTACTTTAACGTGTTCAATGCCCACAAATCTGTCAATTACTTCACCTTTTAGTATCAACAAACCGTAGAACCACCACCATCTTCTCTTTCATCGAATGATCTCGAACATCACCCATTTGACACATAATTGCATTAATAGTTTCAACAGCAGCTGAATTTATAATGGCATTTTGTATACTAGGCGACTTCAATTGAAGATTTCTGGGTGCACTTTCACAGGCAATGACACACTATCATTATGTTGAGCAAGAAACTTCAAAAGTTCAAAAAAATTCCTTTATTTTTTTAAAGTTCATATTCATCGTGACCACGAAAAGTAAGACCTTGTCGTACCAAGAAACGAACACAATTAATTGAAGCATTCAAGAGAGTACAATAATTATGTTTCGAGACTTCCACTTGATGACTAATAAGTGACTTGAGGTGTTATTTTTGATTCATTAAAGCCTGACAATTTGACAGAGCACAATGATGAACACTACCCACAGTGCCGACATGATCTTTGACGCCATGTTTCTTTTTCTGATTATTATAACATGTAGATGTGAACGTATCGCTACCCCCTTGGTCACCATGTTCTGGTTTCAAGAGATAACAACAAAGGCAAAATAGAGCATCTTTCTCTATGAATAATCTAACCACTCAATATGATCACTGAACCAAGAAGAATTAAACCTGCGCTTAGGCCCGTAGATATATCGCTGAGGAAACTTATGGCTTCGAGGTTGACAGGGGCCCTTGAGTAGATAATGTCGTCTCACTTGATCGGGAATATTTGGATAGTAATATAAGATACGCTTCCAGTGTGCCGGATTTGAGGGGAGATTTTCTAGAAGTTCGCCAAGTTCGGTTCTCTTTGAATTTTCGCCAAGATCGATGCTCTTGGAATTTTGATTATCGAGCTTCCTTTTCTTCTTAGATGACAAAAGAGTTGAAGGTTCCTCAAAATTTGCTATTTTTCAATAGTACTTCTCCATTAATGTAACTCTGCAAGCAAAAATTGATTTCAATCAACATAAGAATTCTACAAAATAAGAAAACCCATATGTTATTTGAAGCTCGCCATATCATTAATTTTAATTAGCAATTTCAGTTCTACAAATTCAATCTGTAATCTTTGTTTATTCCTGTTACCAACACGGCTTTTCAACATTTTGAAACCAAAACAATAGAAAACAAAAGTTGCCATGCCATCCGTTAATGAAAACAAAAGCAAAAGCCAAAGAATAAAAGATCTCGATTAAATACATCGAAAAAAAGGCTGAAAACTACAAATAGAGAATGAATTATAATTATGGGTTGACCTTGATAGTTCCTTGAGAAGCGATTTTCTTTTCGATTCTATGTACGTCCATTTCGCACAAACCGAAAGAACAAAAGATTATGAAAGAAGATGAGAGATTTGGGTGACCAATTTTGACATTGGGGATCTATTGAAGGTTAAACCTTTTTTTTCTTCGTGTCTGCGACTCTGCGTGCATAATGGGGCAGAAAGCTCCCCTGGACAAAGGATCAAAATAAATATAATAAAACTAATATCAACAAGATTGATAAGATAAGATAAATAACTTGATTAGAACTTACTTGAATTATGGTCTTTAAGGATTTCAAATGAATCGTACTGAGGTTCTTCGAAATGAAATTATCAAAGTGTAGAATAACTTTTTAATTTCAAAATTATATGATCACTCTAAAAATAGGTTGGTTCTTCATGAATGAATTATATTGAATAGTACAAAATCTTGAATTTCAGTTGCATTTCATCCTCATCTGAATTTCATTTGCTTTTATCTTAGTGTTGTAGTGATAAGATAATTATTGATAGAGACTCCACTTGGTAGGGCCTTTATGTCTTCCATAAGATGATACCCAAACACTTGTCTTTGAAATGGACAATTATTTTACGTCTCTATTGTGTTTTTCACGTTTTTTCCCCAACAATTGTTCATGTGTCTCTTTCCCAGCAAGAGTTGTACAATACATTGCTTTTGAATAGTATAATATACATCTTTAGAATAATACAATACACCGCTTTGAATAATAGACAACAATTTGAATATACTGGATTTGAGTATTATAAATCGTAAATCATATAAGGATCTTGACCAAGTGGTCCCCAAAAAAAGTCAATGAAGATCCTTTACTTGAATTATTTTCACTCTGCATTTTATCTTTCATTCTTTTGAAATTAAGAAATTCTTGTTAAAGTCATCATTTTTTATTGTTTAAGAGAACCTTCTGGTTTATGTGTGGCGGCTCTGATGTATGCGTGTGGGGTGGGTGGCGGGGTGGGGAGAGGGGGGGTGCTGTGGAGTGGACTATCTTGGGTTGGGTCTGCGGAGCACAAGTTGTCGGATCTATGGTCCAGATCTAGTTAGCCCATTTAGAGATTTCCTCAATCCATTTTGTTGGACTGTTATTCTCGTGGCTTCTTCTTGCATTTGGGTGTTCGCTTAGGTTGTGATGGCGCTGAATGTTCCTGTCTTATGGGGAGGACATTAGTATATGTTATGTATTAAGCTGTTTTTGTTGTCGGTGTGTTTTACGTTTGTGTTTTGATTAGTTAGGTCCTTTGTACTCTTTCATTAGGAACTTCACAATCGAAACAAGAGTTTCCGATTCAGCTCAACAAGAACCTTTGGAAAAAAATAGAATCTCAACTTTTTGATGCAAAAGTGCACATCCAAGCTGTGCACGAACATACATACATCAAGGCTAGACGAAATAAGTATTACCAAAATTGGCACCAAAGACACAATCTATAATTTAACTTTAACTTGCCGATATCCTTCTTTCAAAGGGGGAAAGAAAAAATCCAACACCAGTTGCTATTACACAAGGGTCTAGAGCTCATCTGTGCGCACCAATTTATTTTGAGGCAAATTATAGTAAGTTTTGAATGATAAAATCCGATAAAAAACAAAAAAAAAAAAAAAAA